CCTCGGCAGCAGACAGGCGGTCCCCTTCCGCAAAAGCTTCCAGGTCCCAACACCTGCCCCCTGCCCAATTCGATACCCCTTCCCCATAACCCAGATCGACAGCCCGAGTGAGGTTACCGCGATAATTGCGGGCATCCCGTCGCTGCACCCACCCACAACACCACAACCTCCAACCAACTCCTAGTAGCGAACAGCCAGAGGCGAGGGATTAGCTGACACCTTTGCCACCCCAATGCCATCGACCCAAATTCAGACATTGGTCGCGGACAATCTGTCCACCGTTTTGTGTTCTCTTTCCCCGTTTCCGATGTGTAAATGCATTCCAAGCCGCTTACCAACTTTAGGCGCAAGTGTGTCACCCAGCGACCACCACGTGGAGGTTCGCCCGCACGGTCGCCTCCCATGGAATCCTTGCATAACTCTAGCGTAATGTACCCCAAAACCTTCTGCAAGCATTTAGACCCCCAGCGTACGTGCTTTTGACTTTCTCAATGTTCAAGAAGCCAACATAATCGAACGTGGAAGCTTGCGGAGACCACTGGGTTGCTGTAAAGGAACTTAAGCTATGTTACCATAATATAGGTGTAATTAAAGTGAATTATAGGGTTTCCTTGTTACCTCAACTTAATTCAAGTTTCAAAACAGCAGCCTAGACAATTGTGTTCAGCAGTCAGGGTTCAAAGCATCGCAAACTGCAGATCTTTCAAGCATGCAGGTTTTCGCCAAGTCTCCAAAAACCAAATTCCCGTCGCAAAGCCTCCAAACACAAATTCCTGTTGACAGGTTTTCGATGCCATCACTGCGTGCCGCTAGCATGCATTCAATATACTATGATATGATGTAGTATAATATCGTATAGTATAAATCTGATATAGTATGACAATCAGGATGTACTCTGCTTTCTTGGAGGGTTTGTTAGTTGTAAGAGTCCTGCTTGGGATCTCAAAGAGCACTCCCGAGTTGCTATGCCTCAGATTTATGAAAGCTACCTGGTGCTTAGGGTTCGGGGTTTAGGGTTTAGGGTTCAGGGTTTAGGGTTTAGGGGCTTAGTAGGCATGGCGGAATGGGTTCTAGTGACTATTATGGGCGTTATTGGAGGACTACTGACTACCCTAAACCCTAAACCCTACTATATGGGTCCAGGCCCTCCCAAGAACAGGGAGCTGCTAAAGGCTAGTGGGGAAGGATTGCGTGCTATACCTTGACCCGGATGGCGTGTGGGACCACCGGAAGACAGTAAAAAGACGAATAGTGCTACATTAGGAATATATGCGGATTCTAGTTGAACTGCGGTCAGCCCTTGTGGTGGCTAGTAGTGGCTGGGGGCCCTGCCCAAAGTACTTGTCGGAAATATTCCAGTCGCGACATATAAGGCACTGTCAGTTTTGGCTTTATTAACGTGCCCTTAACAGTGGAAATAAGGGTCCTCCTTGTAGTTTAGTATAGTCCCTGAAACAGTCCCTTTTAAGGAACCCATGTCCATTAAATTCTGTACGAAATATTGACAGTAGCTCATATGAGCTATAGTCTAAACTCCTAGTATCCCCTTAATAACCCCTATAATACGCCCTATCTGCTATATAACCCCACTCCTGCAGTGGGAATTTATCAAGCTGGGGTGGCCCAGTGGACCCCAGGACATTGTGTTTAGGATTTAGCACCCTAGGCCCTAGACCTGGATTTAGAACCCTAAGCCCCGAACCTTTCGTGGATATTAAGAAT